GAGAGCCCAGCTGGCTACAGCCGCGGCTCAGGGGGACGTGGCGAGGGTGCGGCAGCTGCTGGAAGTTGCTGGGGTGAACCCCAATATTGTGAACTCTTTTGGCAGGACCCCGATTCAGGTAGCGCGCCAGAAGCAGCGTCGCAAGCTGGCACAGGGACTGGGCATTGTAAATCGGCTTTCCAGCGCCGCTAGTTAGACCAGAGCTTGTCCGGGGGAGGGAGGGCTGCGGAGAGGGGAAGGGCTTCAAAAGCGTTGAACAGGGATCGTACGGATCGATCTCTGGGTTCTCTGCCCCCTTTTGGCAGGACCCCGATTCAGGTAGCGCGCCAGAAGCAGCGTCGCAAGCTGGCACAGGGACTGGGCATTGTAAATCGGCTTTCCAGCGCCGCTAGTTAGACCAGAGCTTGTCCGGGGGAGGGAGGGCTGCGGAGAGGGGAAGGGCTTCAAAAGCGTTGAACAGGGATCGTACGGATCGATCTCTGGGTTCTCTGCCCCTCGAGTCGGCCCGTAAGGGGAGCGCGTGCGAGTCACTGACCAGAGACACGAATTCTGCTCCGGGCTAGCTCAGAGAGGTGCTTCTTTAAACAGTCATTCCCCACCGTTTCAAATTCATAATGGGAATTATCGCAGCTTTTAAGAGTTAAAAAAGTGGACTATCTACCACACACATCGAAACGGGACGTGTATAATTATGCGGGACAGGAACAATAAAGCACAGCGCTGTTAACGTTTCTTAATTACTATTTCTATGGCAAAGTCCTCTTTCATTTATGGTTCATATCCCACAACTGTACACGCCCATTCCATTTTCACTTACAAATTCTAGAGGTGTTTTGATAAAGTTTTACACTAATATAATATTTTAAATGATTTATCATCAACTTCATTGTTTTAACATTAAACACTCTAAAAGTTGTATTTAAGACATGGTAAAATACAAATATGAATATAAAAATATAAGGCGCCAGATCACATATTTAATCAAGGATAACCGGATTCTGAATTACTGCAATTTTATTTGATTGTATGGGGAAGTAATTATACTTGCAAAGAATAAGTTACATTTGGGAAGGAACCTATAACCATTTTGAAACTTGATTTTTAAAACAAAATTTCTCCAGTCTTAGAGTAAATGTTTTTATAATTGTATAGGTTCTCTCCAGTATATATTTTATATGGGGAAGTTTTCTCTCTTTTAACTGCCAGGTGCTATATGTGGCAAAATGGCTGTCATATCAAAATGGCTGGCTTTCATATTAATTTTCAAAGACTGTGGCTGTGTTCAATTGAAATGTCTATTAATTTATATTTTCTTCTTTTCAAATACATTCTATAATCCACTCTCAATTTCTCTTGCCCATAAAGATTATTGAAAGTGTCAGGTTTTAATTGCTTTTAAGTATATTTCACTAATTTTAATGCAACATAATTAACTATATATTACAATACTTACCTATCATTTTGTTTGTGCATATGACGCCGAATACAAATGAACATACATTTTAAACGCTTAATATTTAAGTATACTGCAGTATTAAACACTATTAAATCTAGCTTCCCTGTTTGTTCTACATCATAAAAGGAGGTCCAAAACCAGACAAACACCAATCCAGTTCTGCAACATTTCCGTGCGCATTACATTTGCCAATTGAAATCTTCCATTTGCCAAATAAAAAAACAGGACTGTAGCACTATTCCATTTGCCAGATTTTCTTCCATGCAGTTAAATGTATTATTAGTTCTTTAGCACGTCTTCCAAATTCACTTCGCGGACTATCTTTGTTAAAGAATCGTTCCTCTTGCAATCACATGTAAAAGAAGGTCACGCCTGCATCAATTAACTGGATAAATGTCTTGGTGACTTTTATGTTTAACCACTATAAAACGGAGTGCAGACAAGAAAGCATCGCTACTGAGCGAGGGGTTTTAAGCGTGTGTATTTGATACATAGCTCTTGAGTTGCGGTTTGTAAACGCTTTCAAGTTTTACCCTATAAAATGTTTTTAAAAGCTAATATGTCAAATCAGTATAGATTATGAATTCATGTAAACGGGGCTATGCACCGTTTATAGGTAGCTCATTATACAAAACCCTAGAAACCTCCTAGGTGAAGCTAATGCAGTTCTGTCATGAAGCTGGATGGGGCCAGGATATCACCCTGAAGATTTACCTTTGCTTAGGTATAATTCCAAAGTCAAGCGACACGAGAAGCTGGTCTCCATTACACCAGTGTAAATCCCGAATAACTCTGAGAGCGCGTCATACGGCTCAGACGATGTAGACCAGTGTTCCTCAACCAGTGGTACAAGTACCCTTAGACGTATTCCAGAGAAGTCTGGGGGGGTAGGTCAACACAACTGAAATTTGGAGAAAACGGAATTTTTGTTTTAAGTTTTACAGCGCTTTATTATTTTTGTACTTTTTACACCCACCCAGCTACGATTAAGTTGTTTAAACAAATGTGTTGCAATGGCAGGGAAAAAATTGTGCGTATCTGAAAACGGTAGGTACTGGGGGTACTTATAATTTTGTTTAAAGGCGACAAGGAGTCCTGTGGCACCTTATAGACAAACAGATGTATCTGACGAAGTGGGTCTTTGCCCACGAAAGCTTATGCTCCAATACATCTGTTAGTCTATAAAGTGACACAGGACTCCTCGCTTTTGCAGATCCAGACCAACACGGCTACCCCTCTGATCTGTGTTTAAAGGGGTACTTTATGGGGGGGGGGAGAGGTTGAGAAACACTGATGTAGACCTTAACTCCGATAACATTCCGCATAAGACCAAAGGAGATTCTTGCAAAGAGATGAAGGCTGACTGACGGCTTCTCTCTCTCTCCCTCCCCCGCCAGGTCATGATGCTGGGAAGCACCAAGGTGGCGGAGCTGCTGCTGCAGAGCGGAGCGGATCCGAACCGCCCGGACCCCAGCACCGGCTCCCTCCCGGTGCACGATGCGGCACGAGGAGGTTTCCTGGACACCCTTGTGGCGCTGCACAGGGGCGGGGCTCGCTTGGATCTGCGCGACGGATGGGGCCGCCTCCCCGTGGACCTCGCTGTAGAGAGCGGGCAGCAGCAAGTGGTCCGCTACCTCCGAGCCCAGAATGTGGCTCCGCCCAGGGAATAGGGAGGGGGGGGGGGTGGGGGCGTTGTTTCTGCGACATTCAGTGACCCTTCTACCAGGCTAGTCAGCTGCGCTGCACTTCTCTGGCGGGCAGGGCTGGAAGGGCACAGGCTAGAGCTGGGTCCCAATGCTGCTGTATCGTGTAGTGAGCTGCTAACTAGCTGTAGTGGCGGGTAAGAGCTTAGCTCGTTCAAATCGATTTTGCGTCCAGCTCGGGGCTTGCCTCCAAGGCGTGCGCTGCAGCGATTGCCTGGACCTGGCAGCATCATTTCTCAGAACAAACCCAGTTCTTAAAATAGCGCACAAAAAGCGTCTGTGTGGCCATTGGGATGGAAATAAAAGCGACTGCAGCCATTAAGTGTGTGTGTGGGGCGGGGGGGGGGAGGTTTCAATGGGGTTTGAATCAAGCCGTGTCACATGTGTACGAGTCTGTCTGCAGATGCTAAAAATCGTAACTAGACTCTAGACCGGGCTATCTGGATCAATATTTTTCCCAGATAAAAATGCATTATATAAGCTATACATGCATAGCAACAAATCGCCCTCACAAGTTATGATGTGGTAGGCACGGCTTAAAAAGTCTCTCCTGCAAGATGCTGAATGCTTTCAGCTGTTACTTGTTCAGTCTTTAAGGCTGAAATGGGTGGAACATGTAACTGATCACAATAAGATCTTGTGTATTGGATGGCAGCCTCTCGTTAAATGTCCGTGCTTCTGCTCTGCTAGTCAGAAAACCCCTGCTCCATTTGCTCAGCCACTTTAGCGGAATTATGGGCCTATCCCACACCTACTGAAATTAACTGCACGCTTTCCTTTACACCAACATACATTGGATCAGGCCCTAAACGCGAACCAAAGGATTTGAAGAACACCAGGCTTCTTATGGAGCCGGCAGCTTACCTTTGGATATCCACTTTTCCCGATTAGATCCAAGGGAGGCATTTACAGAAACATGAGGTGTTTGTGTACAGCTATTTTAAATACGGGATTGAACTGTGACGGGTCTGAGGTTTGGGTTTTAGAATAACCTCCCTTCCCAAATTATAAACCACTACAGTATGAACGAAGGACCGTTACATTCCTTATTATTGCCCAAAACACTTTCCTTGGTCAGATGAAACAGCAGGCAACTGTGTTGTATAACATGATCACAGTGGGGGAAATGTTGTATTATTCATATTAGATTCTTAAATAAAACTAGTGCTAGTTCAGTGACGGATACCCGATCCTCTCATAACATGATTCAAAACATGCCTCTTGACTTACTGGTTTCTGTACTGATCTAAGTGAGAAAGCAATGGTAAATCAAAGGCTAATGCTTTTATTCATAAGAATGCTAGAATAGACCGCTTTATACTCAGATATTTGATTTAGATTTTAATTAGCTTCTTCAAACTATGAGGCGTGTAAGTAACATTTCCCGTTTAGCTTTACTTTCCAGGTTTTTACCCAAATTAATTATCCCATTTTAATTCCCACCAGTAAGGAAATTAGGAAAACACACTCACTCAGAAACCTTTAAAAAATCACGAATTTTATACTAGCAATGCGAACGTGTATGTTTTCAAAATATTCCTGTTATGAAATCAATTAGGCGCTTTGCCATTCAATTTCAGTTGAACCAGGTTTGGGATCACTATTATGGCGCTTTGTTTAAAAAAAATCACAAATAAACAATGGATACAAACAACAAGGGTATCCGATAGAAAATAGCAGAAGAGCGTGAGAATATTTTGTTTTGGATCTCTACACAGCAGATTCCCCACCCAAAGGAAATTAATGGAAGAAGAGTTTATAAGTGTTTGCGATTGTGTATTGCCTTTGCTTCCCATCCACTTATACTGAAATGATTTAATTAGTGTTATTATTCACATTCAAAATATTAAAGCAGGGTTAAACTACTAATCTAAAGAGAGAATTAGTTTATGTTTGCAGTGGTATCCTAGCTGTGTGGATGGCAGGATATTGAGAGACAAGCGTATATTATTTTGAACTTTCTAACCTAGCCGTGTTGATGGCAGGATATCGAGAGACAAGCGTATATTATTTTGAACTTTCTAATGATCAAGAGACAAACTTCGGAGTTTACATAGAAGCTGGTCCAATAAAAAGATATTTCCTCACCTAGCTTGTCTCTCGATGTTGTTAAATAGTCTAATAATCTCATCTAATAAAGAATTAATTGTATATGCTTGATAGACTGTGGAAAAGCTAATCACATGTCAAAAGGACGATTTATTTCAACACTGGAAATCAAAAACCACTGAGAGCTGCAAGCAAATTCTACCAGTTTGGATCAGTGTGTTATTCTGTGCATTTAAAACGTTATTTATACATTCTTTAAGATAAGGATCAATATAATAGTTTATATATTATCTAGTGAAGTGATGCCAAATTAAAAGTTAGTTCTTCATTATGGTAAGTGAAGCCATGCTTAAATTCTACTTTACAAATAGAATCCTAGGGCTGGAAGAGACCACAGAAGGTCATCAAGTCCAGCCCCCTGCCCAAGGCAGGACCAATCCCAACTAAATCAACCCAGCCAGGGCTTTGTCAAGTCAACACTTGAAAACCTCTAGAGATGGAGATTCCACCACCTCCCTAGGTAACCCATTTCAATACTTCACCACCCACCTAGTGAAATAGTTTTTCCTAATATCCAACCTAGTTGGCCCCCTCTAGCCACGGGAGAAGAGCCCGGACTGAGCCAGCTGCAGCAGCTAGGGCTCTCTCCCCAGCCCCTGGGGAAGGAAAAGGAAGGCTGGCCAGGCTTGGGGAACAGCAGTATGGATGCACTGCCTGGAGACATCTGGTCAGTGGGAGCAGTGGTAGGCCATGCCGGCATCCTGCCCCCCCACTCACTTTTCCAACTGAGACCCTGCACCCCCAACCCACTCCTGCATCCTTCCCCTGGCCAGACACCCTACCTACTCCAACCCTGCTCCTGCACCCTTCCTCCTGGCCACACACTGCACCTTCCCTTGCTCTTGCCCCCTCCCCCTGGCCAGATACCCTACTGCCTACTGTGGTCCTGCACCCTACCTCCCATCCCGATCTTGCACCCTCACCCCTCCTGTTCCTCACCTCCCTCCCCTATTCTGCCCCCCCATCCCTATCCTACTCGCTAGCAGTCCTGTCCCGCAAACTGAATTCCTAATTTTGTCCCCACCCCAGAGCATAGGGTTGTCCATAAAATTCACTAACCTCTGAACCCTCTGAAGAGTAAATCTGGCCCACAGGAAGCCTTGAACCTCAGTTCTTCCTGTCCCTCCCCCTCACCCTGTGGAGCTGGAGTGCCAGAGTGAAGTGTCTCAGTAAGAGGCCATGTCTGTGAGGCTTGGGTTTTTTGAAGGGGTTGTTTTGCTTCTCACTTGTGTGGTCCCCAGCTGATTTTTGTGTGGGTCAGGGGTCCCCCACCTAAAAAAGGTTCCCCACCCTTGCCATAAATACAGACAACATTGAAACCTTTTGTGTTGGACATAAATATTTTACTTTATTTAAAATGAAGTTTGCTAAACTAACATGATAAAGTTAAAATGCTTAATCTGTTTAATAATTTAAATATATATTTCCTTTCTTACTGGTTAAATTAAACCATTATCCCTAGCTGCAGCTGCAGATTATCCCTAGCTGCAGAAAAACAGTTCAGGCAGAATTATGTAATTAGCTGTAAATTTCCACTACATTGAGCCAAGTGGGCCACAGGCCAAAATGTTTGAGAACCACTGCTCTGGATGTTAGGGGTAGAGGGGGATTTGTGAGACCCCACCCCTGGCATAATTTCTCAGCTCCTATTGGCCAGTTTAAGAAATTGTTCTGGGAATGGGAGCAGTCAAAGAGGCTTCCACCAGAGTAGCGAGTCACAGGGAGCAGCAGCTAGCCATTTTGAGCAGATTGGGGCTGTGGCTGGCACGGAACCTGCATTGGGGTCTTGCAGGACTGCTGGTGAGGTGCCTCCTGGCCAAAGCCTGCCTCTGGCATCCCATCCCATCCCTGCACCAGGTCACCACTGAAACTCTCTGCTCCTCTCCTCCTCCAAGTCACAACTCCTTCTCACACCCTGCACTTCCTTTTACATCCAGCTGCAGGCCAGAATCCTCTCCTGCATCCATACTCCCTCCTGGACCCTACATCCCAATTCCCTGCCCCAGATCACAACCTCCTCCTTCACCAAATTCCCTCTCAGACCCAACACCTTCTCCTGCACCCTAGTTCCCCACCCCAGTTCTCTTCTGCACACAACCTCCTCTATAGACAAGGGCGAGCCTCGACCTTCCCAAATGTAGCTTACTACTATTATTGCCCCCTTCTGTAAATGCAATAGTCATCAAAGGATGTAGAGCCCTATAGGGAGGGGACATTCACATGAATCTCAGAGACGTCAATATTTTTCCGCATTAAAAGCGGTAGATTCGATGTATGGGGCAGAATGTATGGGAAGGCAAATGCTGCTCTAGAAGCATTAGAGGCCTCATTGGAATATGGGGCAAAACACATAGGCTACGTCTAGACTGGGAAAATTCAACAGGCATTTAAAAGAAGTCCTCGCATTTTAAAACAAAAACACTGATCACAGCTATTCTAAAGCAAATTAGTCTCCATTTGCCAGCCCCAGCTAGGTTCTGCTAACCCTTCGTATTAGCGTGCACGCTGCTGCTAATACACATTGAAGCTCCCCATAGGCTCTTGGGGTCCTTACTGCTCTGGGGGTCTCAGGCTCCCAACTAGCGGACAAAGTGAAACCATGGCATCTAAGTTGCTTGCTTCAAAGCCCTCACACGTGTCTAGAGTGACATTTTAGCTTTGGATGCAGAAATCAGTGGGGAGGCCGAGAAGAAGCCAGAGCAGCAGGCCAGGAGGGGGGCAGAGGCAGGGAAGGCGGGGATATGGTCTGGCATGATCTTATCAATAAATTAGGCAAATACAACTTACATGGGGCTACTATAAGGTGGGTGCCTAACTGGCTGGAAAACCGTTTTCCGAGAGTAGTTATTAATGGTTCACAATCCTGCTGGAAGGGCAT